ATCTAAATATTAAAATAGAAACTCTGAACCAGTTGGAACAGAGGTTAGGTAGAACTCTTGAAGACATTGGTGTAGGAAAAGATTTTATGAACAAACCTCATTTGCCCTTGAACTAGCACAAACAATCAACAAGTGGGATCTCTTCTTATTAAAAAGCTCCACAGCAACAGTAACCACCAACAGTGTGAAGAGACAACCCACAATGTGGGAAAAAATTTTCACCTGCTATTCCTCAGACAAAGGTATGTACTTTGCCTCACTTAGATTAAAGATACCATACAATATTTAACTTTGTGTGTCTAATTTATTTCACTCAAAATTATAATTTCTAGGGGCACTCGTTTGCCCACAAATGTCTCATATTTGTCATTCTTTATAGCCCAGTAGTATTCTGTTCTATATACTAGACATGATAATTTCTCTATCCAATTGTCTGCTGATGGTTATACAAAGTGTTTCTGGGATTTCGTTACTATGAATTGTGCTGCTATAAACATTGATATGCATGTATCACTGTAGTACAATGTCTTAAGGTCTTTGGAGAAGATACCTAAAAGCGGAATAGATGGGTCATACTTTTCATTTCTGTTCTTTGAGAAATCTCCATATTGATTTCCTCAGTGGTGTACCAGTTACATTCAGACCAACAATGGAGGGTTCTTTTTCCACCAGAGCCACACCAACATTTGTTATTATTTGATTTCTTGATTATTTCCATTCTTTCTGGAGTAAGATGAAATCTTAGCACTGCTTTAATTTGTATCTTTCTAATGGCCAGGAGTGTTGAACAGCCAGGAGGGATTTTCTGGAAGATGGAATTTTCAGTCTTCTTCTTTTTTTTTTTTTTGTATATCCTTTTGTTTTGGTACCGGGGATCGAACTCGTGTCCTTCCAATTGCAAGGCAGGTGGCAGAACCACTGAGCTAAATCCTCGGCTATATATCCTTTTATTGGTACAACTAGACCTATATCTCTCACCATGCACTAAAATAAAATTGAAATGTATTAAAGATCTAAATATAAAAACAGAAACATTGAACTGGCTGGAACAGAGGTTAGGTCGAACTCTTGAAGACACTGGGGTAGGAAAAGACTTTATGAACAAAACCTCAGTTGCCCGTGAACTAGCACAAACAACTAACAAGTGGGATCTCTT